TATCTGCTTCCATAGAGGAACATTGTTGTGGTGATGGTGTTGTTGGCATGCTTCTATGGGGAAGAATGCCGAAGACAAGTTCATATGGGCTTCTTGAAGTTGCTCTGTGTATTGTGACATTTCTCTTATAGGCAGCCTCTCCAACAAATCTGCACCAGGTATTCAAACTGACTTGTTTCTCCTTAAGGATGTTTGCTAAGTTTTCCTTAACAGTTCTGTTGTTTCTTTCAACTAGTCCCTGCGTTTGTGGAGTTCTTGGAGCTCCATGAACTAGGTCAATTTTATGTTTATTGCAAAAGTCTATCATGTCCTTATTCTTGAATTCTCTTCCATTATCTGTGTGAAGCTTTTTGGGAAAGCCAACCTGCCAAAAGAGTTGTGTGACTGCTTCTAATACTTCCTCACTGGTTTTATGTGACAGAGGAAAAAGCCAGGAGAACTTGCTGTAATGATCAGTTGCATGTAAAAGCCAGTTGTGGTTTCTTCCACAAGAACAATTCAAATTCCGAAAGTCTATCAAATCCAACTGTACGTGTGCCAGAAAATTACTTGCCTGTATTGGCTTTATTATTGGCCGCTTCAAATGGTCTGTTACACTTTTTTGTTGTTGGTGTAGATGGCACAGACCAACAAATAGTGTTACAACATCTTGAGATATTTCTGCATATGTTCTCTTTACAAATTCTTCAGTTTTATCTCTGCCGCGGTGTGCGGTTGAAGAATGAGCTTGGGATAAAATGCCGCGAAGTTGCCTTTTAGGTACTACAATTTTTCGGTCCTTGGACAAGATGTTGTCATTTTGAATGGTCCATTGCTTTCACTTAATCGTCCCTACATCTGTCTTTGTTAGTCCGAACTGCTTGTGATTCTTGGGTTCATTTTTGAGCCAGTACTTCGCATTCTCGTAAAATTTATCATCTATGAAGACAGTCAATTTACTGTTACTTTTTTTGGAGCCTTTAAGGGCATCTAACTTTTCGTAAAACGCGTCTTTAGCGACACAAAACGGTACACCCTCCATCGCTTTCTTCGCTTTCGATGAGTAAGTCCCATTTTCATACAAGTGCGCATGTGCATGCACATTTTGCATAAATTAAATTTTGACCGAGGTGAGTCTGGTACCAAAGAAAGAATAAATGGAAGAAAAAAAGTGAGTGTTTAGAAAAAGGACTGTGTGGTATAGAGAAGAGTGTGATGGACAGGAAATCTAATCTGCTACGAAGGTCATAGGTTCAAAATGCAGAGGGTAAGTAATACTTCTTTATTCTCAATGAAGTATTAGTATTAATATAGATGGAAGTTAGTTAGTATTTAATAAGCAGAATTGTGAGATAGTGAAAGAGTAGAGGTGGATAGAAGGGAAAAGGGACCAAGAGAGGAATGTGAAGGTGATATAATTAATTTTGTTAATTCCTCTCTATCTTTTAAGAACCCCCTAAAAATACCAGGCCCTTATTTTTCATCCACACCCCAAAAAATGAAGGCCCTTTTTTCGACAGTTGACTGAGTAAAAATTACCTGGTTAAAATAGAAAATACCTAGTTAAAAAATATATTTACCTTGTTAAAAAAAAATTACCTATGGAAAAATTTTAACTACAACATATACTTAATTGAACACTAAATGAATGAATGAATATTAATAAATACTGTTCTAAATATCCCAACTGGCAGGAGGCAGACCAATTAGCCATGTACAAGGAAAGCTTGAACCAGGGACAACCAGCTTACAAGCCCAGGATCCCAACCACTCAACAACACTGCCTCGGATCAGTAATTCAATGTCTTTCAAATGAGCAATTAACTAATTAACAAATGGTAAACACCACAGCGTACACTATTGAGTTATGGATGCACGCGGGGAGTTGCTAAGCACGAAAGAAGCGTAAGAGTCGCTTGAGGTGATAGCCGAGAGCGACTCTAGCTTCTTAAGTGCTTAGCAAACCTCCCAAGTGCATCCATGACTCAATAGTGTACACTGTGGTGTTTACCATTTGTTTTATAACATAACATTGATACATTGTAGCTAAAGAGTTCCCTTTTATTTAACAAATCTTACGCGACCAGAAAAAACAAGTGCATGCAGAAGAATAGTCTTTGCATTATTTTGCTCACATCAGCAGCATACACCCATGGGCAAATGAGGGACGCTAAAATGACCAATCAGAGCGCGTGCTTTACTTTGGTTAAGTTATAATACTTGTAAGAAAAGAAGTTTGTAATACAAAAATTGCCTCACATACTTCCAATGAAAGTTACACAGTCAGTCAAAGAGTTAAAAGTGTCCCACATTTCTTACCAAGAGCTGTTTCCAACAATTCTAAACAGTAACTTTGCCCAGATAGCCTTGCTATATCAAGAGACATGTCATCATCCCGTCCAAGAAGCGTTGGTGATCCTCCATACTGAAGGAGAATACTTGTTAACTGGACAGCAATGTCATGGGCATGATTGGCTCGCAGTGTTAAATGAAGAGGTGTGTCTCTAACTAGGTCAGTAGCATTGACCTTACTTCCAATATCCAAAAGCATAACTGCTACTCTAACTTTTCCTAGAAGTGCAAGAAAACCTGTTAGTAATATATGTGATTTTTTAATACGTCTTGACTTTTAGTATTATATAGCCAGAGATATGCTTATGGATTCCCCTAGTAATTATAACCTGGTTTAAAGCATTATATTTCAAAAGTAAATATCATTGAATTTCTAGTTGGAGCAGCTTCCTATGTTGCTATTTTTAAGGATTGTAAACTTAAAGAAATTGCCACCTTTGGTAGCTAAAATTTGTAAGATACAATTTCAAAATTGGTAGAATCATAATAAAGAAACATTTGATGTACAGGTGGGAAATAGACTCTCAAAGGGTTTACCCATTTGTTGAAGAAATATAAATTATATACCAATAATGTAAATTATTTTTATCAAATTTTTTGCATTGTTAGTGGTAAATTCAAAAATTCAAAATCTTACTTGAGTAAGTATACTTACAATGAGTTAAGTTTAAAATTAGTTTGTTACATGTATCGTGCAGTCTGTGATTTCTTGCTAGAAAAGATACCAGTGATTAATTTGGAGGCAAGTTTAATGGGTAGTTGCTCTTGGGAGTCAATTTGTTCAGGGACAACACTTCAGGGACTGTTTAATTCCAAGGAGTCAATACTTTGAGTAGCTACCAACACTCAGAGACACATCTTTAGTTTGTGTTTAGTATTAACTCACAATACCTTTTTGCCAAGTTAAAGTGTTACCAATAAATTCCTACTAGTTAACATCAAGGCATACTAATAATGTTAATATTAAGTACCTTGCATACAAGCTTCATGCAGGGGAGTTCTTTTTTGATTACTCCTTGCATGTGGGTCTGCACCATGGATGAGAAGTTCTGTCAATATAGCATCATAACCTCTGTATGCAGCCTCATGTAGAGGCGTATGTTTACCCGCATTGACACTGTTCACATCAGCACCAGCCCGTATTAGTAACTTGACACAATCTAAGTGTCCTTGACGAACAGCAATATGAAGAGGTGACCATGGTGCTCCACCAGTATCTAATTTCAAACACAAACAAATCTAGCTCAGATACAATAATTTCAACTGAGTTGTGCAGCTCAACTAAATATATTGTGCTTGCATAGCAAGGGTGGTGTATTGCAGTTAGCAACATGCCCTTCTAAGGGGTTCAGTGGATAATGCTTTATTGGAAAAATTTGAAATTTGAGACTCTCGGGGTCATTAGATCAATATACTTATTTTCTGTCTTTGATCACAATTCACAAAGTAGCTGGCACAAAATGGTCTGACAGTCAGCAGGTTTCCATAGCCTACCAGCTTCTGATAACAACCTTGATATATTAAAGCTTATGAGTAAACTTTCTGTGCTAGTCAAAAGAAAAAATCAATCAAAGCTTAATCATTGTGGTTTGAAATGTTCTCTTTAACTTTTAATAAGATATAGTCAGAAAATCATATTATGTGCTGGAACTTCATTTAAACATCAGTTGAAAAAGATGAGTTTATTTTAACTCAGAGTGCTTTCCAAGTCTCTCAGCCTTCACTTCCATTTTACACTTAGTTATAACTGATTGACCATGATGATCAAATAATGTTTTTCAGCAGCACTGCTTTTGAACAATCACTTACATTGAGTGGGGTTATTAACAAGTGCACCAGCATCTATCAATAATTGTACCAGTTCTGCAAAACCAGCTTTACAGGCTTCATGGAGAGCATGCCAGTTGCCTTGATTGGTCAAAGATGCCCCAGCTTGAAGTAACACTTGAACAACGTCCACAAATCCACCAGTAACTGCCCACATAAGTGGCGATCGTCCAAATTTGTCCACATCATCTAAAGGTGAACCAGCTTGTAAAAGAACCTTCACAACATCAAGATGACCAGCTGAAGCAGCTACGTGAATGGGGAGTTTCCTCCGATGTTCTGTTTTATATTAAAAAAAACCAGTTTATTCAAAAACAGGTTTCTAATGAGCTGCAATTTTTCATTAAATATTAAATAGATTTTACAAGAAGGCAACAGGAGGAGGTATCTATTATGCAGGCCTAATGCTTTGCAGAAGTTTCTTTGCTATCAGAGTGTTTTTAAGACTTAACTGAGAACATCGTAAATCATAATTATGTAGTACTTAACCCTTTAAGTCCAAAGAGTTATTAACATCTAATTTCTCCTTGCAAGATCACCCCTGAATCACAAATTTGGGTTACAAGAATTAAGGAAATGATAACTAAAGAAGCTCTTGATTGTTATATTCTTCTTGTCAGCACCTTTCGAAATGTATCTATAGAAATACCATGGAGACTATGTATATTGATGTCAGAGGGTAAAAGGTTAAGAATTATCACATACAGTTGACATGAGGTAACTGGAACCTTCAAGGAAAAATGAAGCTTCGAGTTGTAAGTTCTTAAATGTACCCTACAGCTGTAAATCAGGAAAACATGACATTAAGACTGCACTACAAAGTTTTGTTTAATACAAAATAGACAAGAGGTACAAATTGGCTGCTTTCAAATAATTCATAGCACAACACTGTTCACTGACTTGTTCTGCATTAACAAATGTACAGGAATGAATTGACTCAAGCAAGTAAAATTAATTAGAGGAAAGTCCTAAAAGAAAACAAAAACTGGTTCAAGTTAACAAAAGATTTAATCGTTTTATTAGGGTTCGGAGTTACCAAGGAAAAAATTACTAACAGTAAAATAAATACGTAAAGGAGGTCCAGGACAAATCCAATTTGGTTCAAATTAATGTTGACAATACTCAATCCCATGAGGGTTTGAGTTGTCAGGTGTCTCAATAATTTGTTTATCTTCAGTTAGTATTATAGTTATATAAGAAATGTATAGTAAATTATAGAATCAATTTGTAAGTATTTCAGTCAATCGTTACAAAAATGAACATAGTATCCATACACTGTTATTCACAACCCATCCATTTATTTTCATGCAATTTTATTGCCTAATTTATTTTACAAGGTGTAAAATCACCACAAAATATCCCATCTATGTCGATACATGCATCCACAATTGACTTGACACCAATTTTTTAAAAGCCATTATTGCGTTATATAAAAATTAATGGGCACATTACAAACCCCAGGGAGGCATCTGAATAACTAGTAAAGGGCTCCAAGAACCAGAAACACAATCCTTAGAGCATCCACTAACTTGTACCCTATGGAGCACCATTCATCCACAAAACCTAAGATTACCTTTAACATTGACATCAGCTCCTGCATCAAGTAAGAATGTGACACATCCCATGTATCCACCCCTAGCAGCATGGTGTAAAGCAGTCCCTCCTTGGTTCTCTATCACATTTGGATCCAGGTTCTTGGCTTCAAAAATAGTCTTGGCCTGATAGAGCATTTGATAAAGATATACCCAAACAACAATCTCAGTGGTACTGTTAATACCCTCACAGAAATAAAAAAAAAATATTCTCTCATTACTAGTTACCTACATAATCAGTACAATTATATCGTCGATGTCACTACAACAACTAGCAAGTCAAAAATTTTCCATTCTCTTTATTTCATTCTGTATTAGGACTTCAGACCTCACCTCTGAAATCAATAAATCCTGGCTTATGAAACTTATATTTGGTTTGTACATTTATAGCTGCGGTCACATCTACAACACAACTAAAGTTTAACTTCAGTTAGTGTCAAGTTATGTGACCTCATACCTAACTGTAGTTAGAGCTTTCAGTCCACTTTGCCATCACACCACGCAGTTAACTACAGTTAGTTCTAATTAGCCTATGGATGAATTAAAAGAGGCTCGTGACAGCCCTTATTGTTCATCTGTGAAACGTCCACATGGTTGACCAATGTAGAGTGTGTCTAGTTTTTCTTCTTATTTCTTTTTTCTGAGCAGCAAACTGTCTGGAATTCATCACAGCAAATACAGGGAAAGCTGCACAAAAGCTTGAAGGCCACACCTGTTGCTACCTTGTTGTGTGCAAATTTTTTGTTTGTCATTTTTGATTTTCCCCTCACTTCACACCTGGTTTTTATTGTGCACATTTATATATGCTCATCTCACACGTGCGAAAAGAAGTGTCACATTCTGATTGGTTGTTTGTTTATAAACTTAAGGCTAACTAACCCATGAACCCTGCTTAGGTAGAACTATAGTTAGTCTGTATTGTTTTGTATCTCCGAGACATAAATTTTCTAACTTATAATAGTTAGAGCGAACAGAGAAGTGGTCACATTACCAAAATAGCTACTTATGGTAATCCCTGTCTTAACTATACTTAGTAGCCCAGATGTGACCGTAGCCTAAGACTCCTTGGTTTAGCATAATTTAGTTTTGCATCAGTAAGGAAGTAAAAAAAAATTGGAAAAAATTTAGACTTGAATTTTCTGCTCAAATTTTACAAATTGGTTACATCCCTTTCATTTAATTTTCATTTTGGAGTTGATGAGACAAACACTTAAATATGCTCTTCTGCCTGTTATGCACCCAACTTAAAGTCGTTGGTGGTCAAATTCTACATCTGTCTTCTGACTAAATCAGCTGAAAAGCCTCACCCTTAACAGGATGCACTTTCCCAAACAGCTAAAATAGGGCACCACCCTCCTCCTGCCTCTAATGGACAAAGGTAACAGTTTGATGTGGGTAATTCAAGTCTGATATGAATCACACCAGTGCAATGACTAATCAATAAGTCATACCATAAGGTGTACCAGGTATTTGTCTATCTAATATGAGTCACCTCACTTTGAATCTTTCAAGAGCTACTGCTGACTGAACAACCTGTGGCAAGCATTTAAGTGGCTGTAACCAAATACTGACACAATTCCTTGTTGTGGCCAACCACCTCAAACATAATGCATCCTGCTTAATGTGGACTTACTACCATCTATTAGTAATAATCAAAACATACATTTGACATGATATTACACTGAACAGCAGCGCAGCGTTGATTCTTACCTCGTCCAAATTTCCCTCACGTACTGCTGCCAGAAATTCTATAACTCCATTTTCCCTTGGATTTGCTAACATAACATGAAGAGGTCGAGGGGGAGGAGGAGGTCTGATCAAATCGTCACCTTCTCCATCCATGATTTGTAATTCGAACTTCGTTCAAACGTTCCGTTCGAAAGATGAGAGTTGTGGTTCGTTGCAGTTGTTATCGCATTCTTCCTTCAAATCAGCCACGCGTCATGACCATATTAGGAGCACAGTTGTGTATCCCGCTGGAGTCTGTATTGCCTTATCATTGAAGGTCTCGTGGCTTTGAGAAATTATTCTACTTTATAAACAATTGCATAACGCAAACTCACAAAATAGGTGCATGACCTCACCCATAGACAAGGAGCAGCAAGGAAATTTACCTTATTAGGAATAAAGATTGAAAGTGATTCATTTTACTGGTGCATACATAACAGAATTGTAACAGCCCATGTCATCCGCAGGCCCGTAAGTGGCTTATACTGCTCACCAAAACATTCAGCTTCTAAGGGGGTTTCAAAGGGGTTAACCAATAGCCGTAAAACGTCCAAAATAGCTGGCTGTCAGGCGTAAAATTTGACACATTTTAATCGTAGGTCGTAAAAAGTTAACCGTAAAAAAAATTCTGGAAACAACCATGGAAAGAAATTAACACAGCCGTAAATTGGCCCAAGTTTTAGCATTAGCCGTAAAAGCTATCACCGACTTGGGATCCTCCTAGAAGTCTGTTAGAAGCATATCAGTGTCAGAAAAGTCCGTTATTCAACTAAGTAAATTCAGTGCAGGGGTGATTACATCGTCATTGACGTGCTAAGTCGAAGGCATCCTATTACAGTAACTGTTTGGCTGCTTTCAATTTCGAGTACCTTCGTCTCTGTGGAGATGTGAGTACAAATACAGGGCCTCAATTTACTAAAAGGATTTGTACAGAGTGCGGACGGGTCGTGGCTCGAAATCATAGGGCAACTCAATGCGATAGTTGCTCCTTGTGGACTCACATCAAATGTGGAGGAGTGTCTCCAAGGGAGTATCGGTTCATGAAATCTACCAAAGACTTTCGCGCACCTGTAAATCCTGCCGTGAGCTGATACAACAATTTCCTTTCGTGGACGCAAACCTAAACTCTTGCAGAAATTCAATTTTGGACTCTCAATCTGATGGAGAAGACGCTAACTCAGTTTGGGAAGAATTTCACAACATGGCGAAGAAGTATCGCAAGAACCGTCTCAAGATCGCACACATAAATGCAAATAGCATTGGTGGTTTTAAATTTCATGAGGTAAAGACCTGGCTCCTTTCTGGTAGGCTCGATATCCTTATAATCTCTGAGACCAAGATTGATGAAAGTTTACCTAACAGCCAGTTTCAAATCAACGGTCAGGTTATCGCTTGTGTCGTGATGATAGAAAGGTCAGCGGAGGCCGGGAGGGCTCATCATGGTATACGTGAGAAGTGATGTCTACTTTGTGAGAGTTCAACTGCCAACTTAGGAGTCTATCTTCGGAACATTGCTCTGGTTTTGGAACTGAATCAATTGTACTTAAAGTTAAACTGGGAGAAACTTGGCTTGTTGCTGTTGATATTTATAGACCGTCTTCTATTCCCAAGTCACAATGGATCGAGGAGCTTTCGCTTCTCTTCGAAGCCGTTTCTGCACTAAGCGACTTCAACACAGATCTCTTAGATCCTGACGAACCTCCCAGAGAACGGCGATGTCTTTTGGACTTGCTGGATATTTATGATCTTGAATGTTTAATTGCAAAAGCTATTCGAAAAACCGAAACAACCGAAACGCTACTTAATTTGATCTTGACTGACAAACAACAAGAAAAAGGCTTTAATATCAGACGTAGTACATGCGCAGATTAGCGATCATTCTTTAGCCTATATTATATTACGGGCTTCGGCCCCAAGATCACGCTCTCGAAAAATAGGGTCTTAGAGCTTTAAAAATTTCAGTCCAGGTAAATTTATGCAGGATTTGCAAATTATACCTTTTTCAATAACAGATGTTTTCGATGAAGTGGATGATAAACTCCTCGCCTTTCAACAATTGTATGACAATATCTTAGATGAGCACGCGCCTCTTCAACAAACTGTAGTTAGGGGAAATCAAGTTCCGTATATGACAGAACAATAGCGAAAGGCAATAAGGCATAGGAACAAACTCTGGAGAAAGTTTAGAAGGGACCGCACATACGTCAACTATCATCAATATAAAATTCTGCGTAACGAATGCACGTCCCTAGGACGGAGAGCTATCAAAGAGCATTTTGAGAAAAAATCGACGGAGCCGGACAACCCAAGGGAGTTCTGGAACACGTATCGTCCTTTCCTTCATACCAAAACAAAACAGGCTAATGTCTTGAAGAAAACAATCAGGTCATAACTGATAAGTGTGAAATTGCCAAGCTTTTGAATCAACATTTTATTAAGATCACGGAGAGTGTGAGGGCGGTGAGCGAAGAGGAGTACGGTAAGAATTTTCGGTAAACCATCCAAGTATTATAGCAAAACTACAACGTAATAGCAACGCAAGTTTCGAGTTTCAGCACACTAATCAAATACAGATCGAAAGCCTGCTATTGGAAATCAACTGTCGCAAATCGTGAAATTTGAACTCGTCGATTGACCACGGTCTGTATCCGAGCGAGTAGAAAAAAGGTCAGGTAACGCCCTTGTTTAAAAAAGGCGATGAATTCAACAAGACCAACTATAGGCCCGTTACAATCCTTACAGTTCTCAACAATGAGTACGAAAGGTTGCTGATGGTACAAATGAAAGACTTTTATCGGGTTATCCTCGGTGTAAAAACCTGACGAGGTTTTCTTTGTTTCATGAGGTATTGTTTATAATGTTCTGTTGTCTTTGTTTTATGTCACTCGTGAGCTTCACAGGTTTTTACACCGAGGATGAACCCTTTTATCGCGCCATCTTATCTGATTTCATCAGTTCTTTTAGAAAGTTCTATAGTTGTGAGACAGCCCTATTACGTCTGACAGAGGATTGGAGGAGCATGCGCGATAGGGGGGAATTGGTTGGTGTGGTGTCCATGGATCTTTCTAAAGCGTTTGATCTTCTACAGCACGACCTATTGTTGGCAAAACTCAAGGCTTACGGTGTTGGTGAGAAAAGCTGCGCGCTTCTAAAGGATTATCTAACTGGAAGACAGCAGAGAGTAAGAATTGGAGATACGTACTCCAGGTGGCAGAGCATAGGCATACCTAGGTAAAGGTGTTCCTCAGGGGAGTGTCCCAGGACCAATGCTCTTTAATGTCTTCATGAACTATCTGTTCTATCATGTTACGCAAGCCAAGCTGAATGTATATGCAGATGACCACCAAGTGTACTACTCAAACACTGATCCAGTTATATTGGAAAAATGTATCTGTAGTGAAGTAGCTAAGGCAAGTCAGTGGTACGCTATGAAAGTTAACGTAACTAACCACGAAGCGCTTATTTTGGGAAAAACTGATCACGATTTCTCTTTCCCAACTAAAAATTCTCTAGACATTTTTGGTATGAATATTGATAACAGGCTCTCTTTCGACAAACATGTATCCACTAAATGTAAAAAGATTAACAATCAATTTAAAGTTATGCAAAGATTCCGAAAACTCATCGCCAGAGACACTCTATTAAAGCTGTATAAGGCCTTCATCCTGCCGCATTTTTATTACTACTCCTCTGTGTGGCACTTTTGCGGCGCCCGCAATTCTGGTAAAGGGGAGGCCTTAAACAAGCGGATTTTGAGGTTTCTTTTACAAGATTACGAATCCTCGCATAATACGTTACTGGATAAGGTCAACTTAAAATCTCTTCAAGTCAGACGCCTACAGAATTTTCTAATTATATTGTACAAGAGTTTATTTTTTACTAACCATCCAGGATATTTAAATGATATCTTTAAGTTTAGATCTACGTCCCATAACTTACGTGGTAATTACATCTTGTCCCTTCCAAAACCTAAAACTACAACATATGGCCTTCATTCTTTCTCTTACTTAGCTGTTAACTTATGGAACTCTTTCCCGGACACCTTTAGAACTTCCAATTTTCCAGACTTTCAGCGCCAAATAGTTCTGTATGACTCCTTTGTGTAACTATACTGAATTTAGTAGTATAATAATATTTAAATAATGTTAATATGTAAATATTTATCATCATTAATGTATTATAATTCATTTATTCTAGTTTAGCTTATTTCTTTTACTTCATTTTAATCACTCGAAGATATGAGCTTACAGCTACTCTTAAACTCGAGGTAAATAAAGTTTATGTATGTATGTATGTGAGGTCAATTCCACAGGCGAGGCAGAACAAATTTCTTCGCATGACTGCTCGCGCGCGACCACGGAGTGCAAACGACAGATCACGGTTTGCGCGCCCTCTATTAAAACCACATACGACTGAAGCGTAACCGGTTAGTCGCGATATACAAATAATTGGCCACTGAAGCGAGTTTTGTTTGTTTTTTTAGCCTCTCCCTCCTCTACAAGTTGAGCTAGTTCCTCCATAACCAAATATAAATTGAATTATAAGGCAAGCTACAATATCGAGTGTCATCGAGCGAGTAAACAACTCGATCTTGTTAACGCAGATTATAGTCGCTTTCGTAATGCAAATCATGAATTACTAAGGAAACATTCGTCGAAGAACATTTTTTCTTTGAACCAACTTGTTTTTGCTTAACTCTGGCTTTTGCCTCATCCTTTCTTGAGACTGTGGAGGCGCGGTGGTCTCATGGTTAGTGCGATCGAGTGGTCCGGGTTCGAGCCCCAGCCGGGGACATTGTGTTGTGTCCTTGGACAAGACACTTCACTCTCACAGTGCTTATCTGTCTATCTATCTATCTATCTATCTATCTATCTATCTATCTGTCTATCTATCTATCTATCTATTTATCTATCTATTTATCTACCTATCTATCTATCTATCTATCTATCT